GCTCCCTTCCGGTACTTGTCACCTTCTCCAGGCCCCCAGCTATGATATCAGCTCAGTTGATTACATGTGCAACTTCTGCCTTAGTGATAATGTCTTCAGGGTTAGTCATAGGCCCTGATTACAGGCTTCTGTGTTGAAGTTAGGAAAGGTTAATGACTTGAGGATCCTGGTTCCTGTTGGAAAGGCCTAAAATGTCACTTGAAAGGAGGGACAAGGATTTGTGTATTATTGTCTGATAAGACCAACTTTGAATTTTGTCTTAGGGACAGTGTTGCTACAATGAAACATCATGACCAAAGAAACTTGGGGAGCAAAATGTTTATTCAGCTTATGCTTCCATATTACAGTTCATCAATAAAGGAAGTCAGGACAGAAACTCAAAGAGGGCAAGAACCCAGATACAGAAGCTGATACAGAGGCCATGGAGAGGTAGGGCTCACTGGCTTGCTCCCCATGGCTTGCTCAGCCTGCTTTCTTATAGAACCCAGGACCACCATCCCAGGGGTGGGATCACCCACAATGGGCTGGCCTCTCAAATCAATCACTCACTAAGAAAATGCTATGTAGCTTGCCACTAACCAGATCTTACGGAGGTGTTTTCTCAATTGAGGCCCCTTCTTCTTCAGTGACTCCATCTTGTGTCAACTTGACATAAAACTAGCCAGAACAAACTAGATCACACACAAAGTTTCCATCTTGATGTGATATCAGAGATAGATTATTTGTGATAATTTATTGACAAAGAATGACACTTGACAAAATCTGTTTGGGGGATAAATGATAAGTCATTGGCTTTCTACCGATCAATATTTTATTTGTTTATCTATCTATCATTTCTTTAGTTGGTTAGATAATTTATTTATCTATTTATTTATTTATTTATTCATTCATTTATTTATTTATTTAAATATTTATTTATTTATTTATGCAGCACTGGAGAGTAAAGCCAGGGTTTCATAAATGCTAACACTCTAACTCCAAACTTCATCTAAAACCAAATAAATTTGTTTGGAGCTCACACAAGTACACATACAAAGTCCAGAGTATTTTTCTTCAGCGACCTGAGGTTAAGTAATCTCCATCCAAAACAATATTTGGGGAGTATGTGCCCCAGGCATGCTCTGGCACTCTACACTAAATACTTGGGAAACTTGGATGATTGCTAGGATGGTCATGGAGTTCCTTTTTACCATTTCTGTATTCATAGCATAGGGCAGTAGCACTATTTTTGAGGAAAATGACTTTTTTCCATCATCTTTAAAGGGAGTTAATTATATTCTCTGAAGACAGCTTTATTTCTTATGTTTCTATGAATTTAGAACTTAGATCTTTATAGAATACTATTAATATTTTCCAAAAGATAAGACCCCATCTGTGCCTAAGCAAGTTGGGATTGTGTGTTGGTAAATGTAGTTTCTGTTATGTCAGGGGCTATGAACCCACTGGGTAGCCTTGTTTCTTGGCTCAAATAACATAGGAAATAATAGTTAAGAAAAATATGATAGGATTTGGTAAAATGAATTTCTTGAAGACAAAAACTCTGATATCTGGGGAAATAAATATAAATTAATACATATGGGAGCCAATAAAAAGGTGCCACCAGCCTTTGCAAGGTCAGAGTGAAGAAGAGAGTTAAGCATGCAACCTTTATAAAGACAAATTTTGCACCTTGTTTTAAACTCTGAAAAGAATCATTGCAACTTTTGGCTTGAAAACAAAGTTTTTGGCATATAAGAATTTAAAAATAAGTCAGAACAGCAGAAATCATGTGGCGGAAGAGCTCTGTCTAAGAACCAGGATTTTAAAATAAAGACATCCTGAGATTCTTAATAACTTTCCATCTATCACTGTTGCTTCCTGAAGTGAAAACCCCGGTCATTAGTGCTTGCAGGGTGTCAAGCATATAAAGGCCAACCTCCTGAAGAGTCATATCTGAGTTGCCAATCATGGTCTGGGATCATTAATTAAATGGGAAAGAGATTAGTTTTATTATCCTCAAAGTAGCTTACTATTCATGCTTTACTTTTGAAAAATTTACATAAAAATGCATGCCCACTCTAAACTTCAGAAACAGGAAAACTTTTTAAATGTATAAAAGTGAAAGAAAAAATATAATTCTGTCACAAAAGATCATAAAATCAAAATTTTTGCTTATTTCCTCTTGATATTGTTTCAAATCATGGTTAAATATTTTGGTAGATTCCTCCTATACTGCTTCTGTAGTCAATGCTACTACCAAATTTATCTATTCCCATCTGTTGAAAGTAATTTTGTATTGCCACTAGGCTTACATAGAAACCGGGTACGTGATGGTTTTGTTTTCCTTGAAAAATAACATTATAGATGATACAATAGAAATTCAGACAATTGAGGAACATTTTAGAGCGGGCAAGGCTAGCTGGAGGACTGAGTGTATATAACTTTAAAGCCTGTTATTTTAAGAAACTTCATTACACACATACTTACCCTAAAACAATTCTGTATGGTACCCTTTTACTTAAAGTATTACAGCATTCTCTGTGCCTCTAATACTATGCATAAATGCACTTTACATATTTAAAAAAAACCTGAAATTATAATTGTAACATCTCTGCCTCCATGCTCTTTCCCCAAACCTGCCAACAGAACCCTCTTTACTCTTTCCCAAATTAATTTTTAATTGCAGTATAGCCACCATTTTGAGAGTTTTTCATAGAATAAAGTTGTAAGTGTTTTTAGCTTTATATACATCTTTTTTATTATTTAAGCCCAACTCATTTTGACTCACAGTGTATGAAGATCAGGCCAGTTGGACTTAGCCTAGACAAGAAGTCAGAGAAAAAGGAGGCGAGGGCTAGAGCTTCAGTCGGCAGTCCCAACTGGGGGTTGTTTCTGCGAGAGCTACTTGCTGAGTCAGCATGAACAAAGGACAGCTTGTGTTCATATTTTAAAAATTCAAGTCTTTCAATATAAAATTCTAAATGTGCTGCTTCATCTGTATTACTGAGGACTCAGCTTTCATTAAGCTCAGTTTCTGCCTTATATATGATTTCTTCCTTCTTGACAACTTATTTCTTAGCATCGCTTCCTCTTTGGTTTCTATAACCGTAGTGAGTGGTGTGGAAGTTCTTATACCTCAGTGAATAAAATTATCACATTTTTTGAAGTTCTGCAAAACTTCCCTGCTAACCCTTGAATCCCTATTGCAAAATTTGTCTATATCCTTCCTACTGATTTTCTGTATTTAATTCCAGTTCTAAATAATGTGTTTTTTAACATATCTCGTTCAACACAGTTCTATCTGTCTAGTCACTGTAAATGAAGATGCTCAAAGGGTAATGTTTTCCACAGAAGCAAGACACTCAGATGAAAGTTTGTCACATTTCTGCCATTTGTTTCAACCAGCTAATTAGGAATCCACTCCTTAAAAATCTCCAGCTACGCTATTTCTTGAGCACCCGTATCACAACTGGCATTAATAGTAGAAACATGGTGTACAGAAGAGAACAAATTAAAAACACAAAAACTCAACAAAGAATAAGAATTTCAGACCAATTTCTCTTATGAACATTCATGCAAAAATACTCAATAAAATACTTGCAACCCAATACCGAATCCAAGAGCACATCAAAAACATCATTCGCCATGATCAAGTAGGCTTAATTCCAGGGATGCAGGGATGGTTCGATATATGAAAACCCATCAATGTGATGCACCATGTAAACAAACTGAAAGAAATAAAAGACATCATCATCTCATTAGATGCTGAAAAAGCCTTTGACAAAACCCAATACCCCTTCATAATAAAAGGCGATCAGGGATACAAGATACATACCTAAACACAATAAAGGCAATATACAGCAAGCTGATAGACAGGATCAAGTTAAATGGGGAGAAACTGAAAGCAATTCCACTAAAATCGGGAACAAAAAAGGCTGTCTACTTTTTCCATATCTATTCAATATAGTACTTGAAGTTTTAGCTGGAGCAGTAAGACAACTAAAGGAGATCAAGGGGGGTAAAATTTGGAAAGGAAGAAATCAAAGTATCACTCTTCACAGATGATATGATAGTATATATGAGTGACCCCAAAAATTCTACCAGGGATCTCCTACAGCGGATAAATACCTTCAGCAAAGTGACTGGATAAAAAATTAACTCCAAAAGAAAATCAGTAGCCCTCCTGTATACAGACAATAACTGAGAAAGGAGTTAGGGGAACACCTCAAGGAGTCCCGTGGAAGAGTGGAGGAGCGTTTAAGGGAGCTGAAGCAGTCAGGAGCACTACCAGAAGACCTACAGAGTAAACTAACTTGGGTTCACAGTTCTCACGGGAACTGAACGCTCCCCTAGCTCGGCTGCCTTGTCTGGATTCAGTGGGAGAGGGCACACCTATCCTTGCTTGCAACTAGATGTGCCCATTGGGTTGGTACCAATGGGGGGGGGAGTGCTCTTTCTCTGAAGAGAATGAGAGAGTAGAATGAGGAGGAGTGTGAGAGTGACTCTGGAAGGAGAGGAGGGGGGGACTGCAATTGGGATGTAAAGTGAATAAATAGGTGAAAAAGTCCTGATAAAGTAATTGTAATGAATAAATATATAACTGACTGACCCCCATAAAGTCTAATAAATGTTTCATGCAAAAATTTGTGAATTTTCTTTTATAGTACCTATATTGGAAATTATTTTTTTTGTAATTTTTGTAAACTTAATTTGCATTCAATCTTAGACCAATTTATAAATTTTAATTTAGTATTCATCCATTGATTTTCCCACAGTCTTTGTGGATTAAAACATAAAACATTTTGAAGCTATATACTTGTTTGTGTGTTGGTCACTTACTAAGTGATAAGTTTGCTTACAGGAAAATTTCTGTGTTCTCTTTCTGCTTGTTATGATCCTTTGTTTTCATGCTTTTTCAAGAAACTTCCTTATGTGCTAGAGGACGACACGGCACCCCTGAGCCTTGAGAACTGAGAGAGGCTGATCAGAGGTATCAGTAATTCTTCTCTCTCTTGCCCCAGGTCAAAGGATCTCATAAAGGAGGCCATCCTTGACAATGACTTCATGAAGAACTTGGAGCTGTCACAGATCCAGGAGATTGTGGACTGTATGTACCCCGTGGAATATGGCAAAGACAGCTGCATCATCAAGGAAGGAGATGTGGGGTCACTGGTGTACGTCATGGAAGGTATGGTTAGTAACTTGTTCCCCTGCCACTCACCCTCTTACCATCTCCCCAGCTTCACAAGGACCACAGTGCTTTTTGTGGGATGGTTCCTGTCTCCCTTCTTTTAATAGGGAACAGTTTGCACAAAGAGCCAAAACACTATTAGGTACCATGGTTGTCTAATTATATGAAGTTTTGCTGTTTAGAATGTTAATATAAGGATTCTGTATGTTTTCACACCTGGAGAAGGTAAGCAATACTGTTGGCTTAACTGAATGAGACTGCACACAGTTACACGGTGGAGCATGCTGACAAGTCACGAATGATAATTGAAGATAATGGGAAGTTTTTTAGGTCAGACAATCAGCATATTCATATGTACCCTTAACATTTAATACATGACTAGGTTTCCTGTTAACGATTCTTCCAGATAAAGATGATGATTTCAGTCCCTTGCATATGTATCACAATGAAATCTTAATGGCATATTTGCTATCTAATAAAAAGAGGGCTAGTTTGTTTCACAAAACCTTCAGAAACTGAAACAGAAATTTGTTTTGATGAACAACTTAGCCATTTATATGCTGTATGCCTAGGTAAATTTTTATATTGATTGTTAATTTAGAATTTCTAATGTTGTATTTTACTTTATGGAAAGAATTTGAGATGACATCTGAACTAGCCGAGAAGAAAGTGAGTTGAGAAATGTTTAGTCTGTAAGCTGTTTATTGGGCATGACCACTGTTTAGTTCAGAGCACTCATGGTGAGTGACTCATGACTTCTAGAGCCTCTTTCAAGTTCATAGATCATTAAGAGAAAAGGCATACTGGGACAAGTGCTTTCTCTGGGTTTCAGCAACCCAGTTTGTAAAATGGTAGATTTTCATGGCAGCACCTGGAGACATTATTGGTTGCCATGACTGAAAAAGTTTAAGAAGGCTGCTGACTTCTAATGGGTAGAGGTTAGGAATGTGTCTCACCACGAAAACAAAAAAACAAAAATAAAAAAACACATCTTTTTGACCAGAAATACCACTGATATTACCTGTTTTTTCTTTTTAATAGGGTTATTAGGCAATTGAATGATAATTTCTATCAGTGGTTTTCAACTTGTAGGTCATGAGCCTTTTGAGAGTTAAACAACCCTTTATCAAGAGTTGCCTAAGACAATTAGAAATATCAGATATTTACATTATAATTTGTAACAGTAGCAAAATTACAGTTATGAAATAGCAATGGCAGTAATTTTATGGTTTGAGATCACCAAAACATGAACTTTATTAAAGGATTTCAACATTAGAAAGGTTGAGCACCATTGATTTATACAAATATTTGATGTAAAGAATAACCTTTATAAAATAATAATGTCTTTTTTGTTTCTATTAAGTGTTTGAAAGTGTAGTTAAAAGTTATGTGTGCTTTTGTGATTTACCTTTTAATTTTTTTCAGCCTTCTGGAATACTCAGTTTTCACATAGTAGTGCCTTATCATCTTTTCCTTTAACAACTTCAGATTTTGCTTCCACATTATAAGCTTCTGCTCAAGGATGAAAAGGTAGAAATATTCAGCTAAAATTTCTTCTGATAAAACCAAAGTACAGTAAACACAAATATAAATATTATGTACTTGGAAGAGAACTGTAGGGATACGAGTATATTTACAGGGTGGGTATGTTGTAAGAGAGTGAGCAGGCAGGATAGGAAAACTCTAAGAAATAAATAGATAGGGATTGGGAGGGGATGAGGAAGGGGGCTACAGCCGGGATGCAAAGTGAATAAACTGTAATTAATAAAAATAAATAAATTAAATAAATAGATAACAGGTATAGATAATGAAACTAGAGACATTCTCCTAGGAATGATTAAAATTAGACACAACCTTAAATATGCCAATGGTATCACATACTTTGATATGTCAGTCATTGTACCAGTAGGGTATCTATGTAAAACACAGCTATTGTATTAAGCAAGACGAACTTTTAGTTTGGTTGTCTTCAAATTGTAACCTTGGTATTCCACTGCAGCAATCAAGAGTCAAAACTTGTGTCTTAAGTTTTTCTCCATTTTGTCTATTTATTTAAAAAATAGATATACACATATTGCACGATAGTGGCATACACCTTTTATCCCAGAGTTTAGGAGACAGAAGCAGAACTCTGTGAGTCAGAGGCCAGCCTGATCTACAGAGAAAGTTACACTACAGCCAGGGCTACATAGAGAAATCCTGTCTCAAAAAATAGGTTTATATAAAACCTTATGAATAGAAAAAAAGCCTCACTTCTCATCTCCTCCCTTTCAAAGTGAAAGAGTTCTTTACTTTAGCTATATGACTTGTTGAATTCTACACTATCAACCATACTGAGCATGCTTATTTAAACTCATTCCGTATATAGAATTCATCTAATTTTCAAAACAGTTGTACATAAAGGCTAAAAGTATTGTCTGGTTTTATAAAAGGGAGGCTGAGGACCAATGAGGATATGCTGTTTTCCAGGTCAATCATGTTAGTTAGATTTGTCTTCAGTCAATCTTGATTCAAAGCTAAAGTTCTTAACTATGAGGGTGTTAGGGTTCTACAGAGAAACAGAATAAATTTTATACACATATATACATATGTAACTTATTGTATATGCATTCACATAAATATGTAGCAAGAAAGAGGTTTATTTTGAAATGGGCTTATGTGACTGTGGATTCTGTTTAAGGCTGTAACTGCTGATGGTTCTCTACTGTAGAATTACCTCTTCCGTGGTGAGAGATCAACTTTTTTTCTTTTTTTATCTCTTTGAGTCATGAGATGATTGAAGGACTTCCACTTCCACCATATATGACAATAAGCCTAACTCAAAGTCTCCTCCTTCAAATATTTCTCTCATCCACAGTATACCTTGCAAGAAGTATCTAGAATAACAATTAAGCATGCTTCTGGTATCCCTGGACACAATGTATCACAAGTTTAGCCTATACCAACTTGGTATATCTAATACATCACCATATTTAAACTTCAAAAACAATGAGCAAGAAGCTCGTATTCTAACATAAGGAACTACCTTGCACAAACCCTTTCTCCAGAAAATGCATGAACCCTTTCTCCAGAAAAGGATCAAAGTCTTTGAGTGATGTTTCCTTATCTTGATAATATCCTATAACTAAAGCATTATGATGTAAAATTAACATTATTTAAATACTGTTATGCAGAGTTAATACTTAATAGGTTAAGGGGATTAAAACATATTTCTTCATACATATATATATGTATATATATATATTCATAACAAAATGGGTAAATTATTTTTATTTTTAAATAATTTTATAGAGTCACTTGTATCCCAGCTGTAGCCCACTCCCTCTTTCTCTCCCAATCCTCCCTTCCCTCCCTCATCTCCTCCCTGCCCCCTTCCGAGTCCACTGAGAGAGAGTGTCCTCCTCTCCTTCCCTCTGGCCCTAGCTTATCAGGTATCTTCAGGATGTTTGCAATGTCCTAATCTATGGCCTAGCAAGGCTGATCCTCCTTCGGGGGGAGGGGAAGCTCATGAGTTCATGTCAGAAACAATTCCTGTCCCCCTTAATGGGGAACCTACTTGGATACTGAGCTACCATGGGCTATGTCTGAGCAGGGGTTCTAGGTTATATCCATGCATGGTCCTTGGTTGGATAAACAGTCTCCTAGAAGACCCCTGTGCTCGGATATATTTGGACCTTGTGGGGCTCCCTGTATCCTCTAGGATATACTAATTCCTCCTTCCTTCATATGATTCCCTACACTCTGCCGAAGGCTTGGTATGGGTCTCAGCATCTGCTTTGATACACTGCTAGGTAGAGTCTTTTAGGTGCCTTCTGTGGTAGGCTACTTTACTGTTACTTGTTTTCTCCTATTTCCAATGTCCATCCCCTTTGTCTTTCTAGATGAGGATTGATCATCTTACCCCTGGACATCTTTCTTGTTTATCTTCTTTAGGTGTACAGATTTTAGTATGTTTGTCCTATCTTATAGGTCTATATAAGTGACTATATACCATGTGTGTCTTTCTGCTTTTGGGATACCTCACTCAGGATGATTTTTTCTAGATCCCACCATTTGCCTGCAAAATTCATGATTTCCTTGTTTTTAATTGCTGAGTAGTATTCCATTGTGTAAAAGTACCACAATTTCTGTATCCATTCCTCCGCTGATGGACATCTAGGTTGTTTCCAGGGTCTGCCTATTATGAATAAGGCTGCTACAAACATGGTTGAGAAAATGTACTTGTTGTGTACTTGAACATCTTTTGGATATATGCCTAGGAGTGGTATAGCTGGATCTTGAGGCAGTGCTATTCCTAATTGTCTGAGAAAGCGCCAGATTGAATTCCATAGTGGTTGTACCAGTTGACATTCCCACCAGCAATGGAGGAGGGTTCCCCTTTCTCCACAGCCTCTCCAGCATTCGTTGTCTCTTGAGTTTTTGATCTTAGCCATTCTGATGGGTGTAAGGTGGAATCTCAGGGTCGTTTTGATTTGTATCTCTCTGATGGCTAGGGATGTTGAACATCTTATGTGTTTTCTGCCATTCTATATTCTTCTATAGAGAATTCTCTGTTTAGCTCCACACCCCATTTTTAATTGGGTTACTTGGATTATTGCCTTTTAACTTCTTTAGTTCTTTATATATTCCAGATATCAGCCCTCTGTCAGATGTTGGGTTAGTGAAGATCCTTTCCCAATCTGTAGGCTGTTGTTTTGTTCTAACGACAGTGTCTTTTGCTTTACAGAAGCTTTTCGGTTTCATGAGGTCCCATTTATTGATTTTTGCTCTTAGGGCCTGTGCTGATGGTGTTCTGTTCAGGAAGTTGTCTCCTGTGCCAATGAGTTCTAGGGTCTTCCCCACTTTTTCTTTTAACCGATTTAGAGTATCTGGTTTTATGTTAGGTCTTTGATTCACTTGGACGTTAGTTTTGTGCAGGGTGATAAATATGGATCTAGTTTCATTTTTCTGCATGTAAACACTCAGTTGGACCAGCACCATTTGTTGAAGATGCTGTC